GTGGTGTTTTTTTTAAATGTTAACACATCTAAGTTTATTAAAGATGCGTTATTGCTATTCATAATGCTTGATGATATTGTTGAGGAAGTTGGAGAACATCTAGTTGTGCAAGTGGTAACAAATGATGTAAATGCATATAAAACAGCAGGAAGTATGTAAATGAAGAAAAGAAAACAACTATAGTAAACTTCTTGTGCTACCCATTATCTCGACTTGATGCTAGAAAATCTTCCAGACTTGCCATGACGTAAAAATGCTTTAATTAAAGCAAAAAAGAGTTAGCAAGTTACTACCATAATTGGGTATTGAGTTTAATGAGACAGTTTACTAAAAATGATCTTATTAGACTAATCATCACAAGATTTGATATTGTTTATTGGGCATTATAAAGCAATTTGTGGCATGAGGAATCAATTAAAGGCAATGTTACTTCCAAAAAAAAAATTGAAATGGCAATGTATGGGCAAAATAATATGAAGGGAAACAAGCAATATATATATATATATATATATATCTTATAAAGCAATCTAAAAAATATTAAACTTATATGGGGCAAACAATTACATCGTGCTTTGCATTTTGGTAGATCTTTTTTAAATCTATTTCATTTTTAAGGTAGCAACTTTGAATGCGTAGAGGTTAATGCTGATTTATACAAATGTATTGAGAGAATGATAAGCTCATCAAAAGATTTTGAGAGCACTAGACAACTTGAAGAATTCATCACAAAAATATAATGTTCAGCACGAGAGCTATCTAATTATCATGCAGAGCATGTTCACCTGGTAAAATATCTAATACTTTTACTTGATATTAATTTTATTAAATACATACTTAGTGATATTATAATTTTATTTTTTCTAACTCAAGATTTTAGAGCGTTGGTTAATGTACTTTGATGACAATCCACTAAAATTAAAATCATTTGTAGCCATAGTTCTACGACTGATGTGTTTAGCTTCAGCAAGTTAAAATATTTTGAACATATCTAATAATTCTACTTAATATTAATTTTGTTGAATATATACTTAATGATATTATAATTTTATTTTTTCTAACACAAGATTTTAGAGTGTTGATGAATGCACTTTGAAGACAAAACACTAGAATTACAAGCATTTGTAGTCATAGACCTAAACTAACTTGTTAAGCTTCTCCATGTTAAAATATTAGGAACACATTCAATCAAAGGAATACAAAGAGAAAAAATTATTTGGTTGCGACTAAAATGAACAAATTGGTTTATGTCAAGTACAATAAGAAACCAAAAGATAAATACCTCAAGTTAACTTAACGCTAAGATAATAATAATCCTTTTAATTCTTGATAATTTAACAGCTGATGATCAATGGTTGGTTAAATAAGATGAAGAAGGACATGAAGAAAGTGATATCGGATCAAATAATAAAGAAGATATTAAAATTTATCCTACAAATGTAACAAAAATTTGTAAAAGTTCATGATATTATGAAATGTAACGTCAAATAACTCGAAAGGTCAAATAAAAAAATAGTCTTTATTAAATATATAATAAATTATTGTTTAAGATTTCATTATTATAAGTGTACTTACTATGAAAATATTGATGCAGAAAAAAAGAAAGCAAAAGTCTTGGATGAGAATGAAGATGAATGGAATGACTAACAATAGAGTCATGGGGAGGATGATGTAAATATTAAATATCACAAAGATTCTTTGGACCATCCCATTAGTGAGGGTGAACATGATGATGTTGATTTAGGGCATAAAAGACTTCATTTTAGAATCTAGTGATATTCTATATTACTAATTTTTATGTTTTCTGAACTTGAAACTTATATTTGGCTTTTTAAAAGTTTGCATTCTTTCTTAAGGCTATGTTTTTTAGAACTTTGTATTTTTAAATTTGTTCTTAATTTTATGACTTCATTTATATTTTTAATAGGAAACCTACGCCTTGATTCAATGAAACCTAAGTTTTGTTTCGATTGAAAAAATCATTCAATTTTCTATATAATTTTTTTAAACCTTGGTGACTAGTGATCTAGTTCAAGCCTAAAGCTCTTCATAAACTTACAGTATTCTTTGAAAGAATGAATGCCTTGTTTTGTTGTTAATATCTTCATCATGATTATGTAGATCAAGACAGCATCTTGCATCTTAGAATAGGTTTGATTAACAACTTCCTATATTTCTGCGGAGGTAGCTAGGAGCATTCAACAACAACAACATCAAGCCTTTATCCCACTACGTGGGGTCGGCTACATGAATCCTTTTTCTCCATTGTGTCCTATTAAAAGTCAAATTCTCGTTTAAATCTAATAAAGAAAGGTCGTTCCTAATATTTCTAACCAAGCCTTTTTAGGTCTACACCTACCTTTCTTAACACAAGTCAAATCTAAAATATTTCATCCACCTTTGTTGAATATCATCTTATAAAATAAGTATTTTTTGATCTTCATCTTTAATACACTTCACTGAAACTAAGTTCTTACTACATATATATTTCTCTCTCCTTAAAATCTAATATATTATATAAATCACTAAAAGCTAAGGTCTTTCCATCTCATATTGCTTTCTTAGATTCCTTACGAGTTTCTTTATATCTTTCCCAATTATTAGAGTTTTTAAAATTAAGCCAATTTTTATAACAAATCTTCTTATTTTTAATATTTTCTTACACAATTGGATTTCACCACCAACTAATTTTACTATTAAGAGCTTTTCCCTTTGATACTTCAAGCACATCTTTTGCAATATTCTTAATATCACTAGTCACTTTTTCCCACATAACATTAGCATCCTCATGCACAGACAAAATCTTACTCTCAAAAATATTTTTGTTAATATTCTTTAAATGCCCCCATCTAATCCTAGAAAAACGTTTTACATAGAACTCCACAAATCTTAAGATCTAAAAGCTAGGAGCATTCAATTTCCACAAATTTTTGGCTTACATAGAACTCCAAAACTATGACAAAAGAGTATTCCTCATCCATTGTATAGAACTTTGGATCTATATTTGGTCAAGTTTTAGAAAAGTGACTTAGCCTCCCTTTTCCCTTTAGAAATGCCTTCACAATTTGTGACCATTGAGGATGGTTTCTTCCATTCAATAGATATATGTAGTTAATATTATAAAGTTTACCATTTGATGAATGTTGGACAGACAAAGTGATGATTCCTAAATTACCCAATTGATTTTTAAAAACTTCAAAGATTTCAAGGAAGAGAATACAAAGACAAAGAAGTTAGATTTTAAACAAATATTATTGAAAAAACCCATGGAACAACACCCCTTGATCATGGATCAAGACATAAAAAAGGCCATAAGATAAAACAACGATAAAGGATTATTATTTTGAATTGAGGATAATAGATAAAATGAGAGAAAATAAGCGTCCTGTGGCAAGAAGGTATAAAAGAAAATGTTATTTGTATAGAATCATGCAAATGAACACTAAATTATAGTTAGTTACGAGAACAATAGCGGCGCCAAAACAGAATCACTAAATAAATTAAATGGGCACTAACTATGGGGAAGCCGGAAATAGAACCTACTTTGATACCATCGTGAAGAAAGAAAATAAATGTTGACTATATATGGAAAATGGAGGTCTCTCGATATTTCAACCAGTATAGTTGGTCATCCTTCTACCAATATTTATGCAAGGCAAAGACCAAATGACAAAAAAGCACTTGCCCTAATCAAATGCAAAAAAAAGAACTATATATTAATATATATTCTTGATTTTGTACTATTAAGTTAACTATTTATACGCCAGGCTTCAAATTTCATATATGAAAATTATACACACGAAAACCAAGATATCTTGAATTGCCACAGTGGATCCCTTGGATTATTTCCCTAGATTGCCAATAGTTTCCACAAAGAGTGTCAACTTTTTATTAAGTAAATGTGTCTTTCAAAATCAAGCGGCGTGACAGATATTAAAGCCTAGCTAAATAGGCTTTATTGAGGATATGGATAATTTTGAGAAAGTTATAACTGAACAAAGACTTATGTACTTAAGGTTCTCATTTGATATAAGCTAGCTGAATTAGAATGTCATTTGCAACTGTTATTTTCAAAAAAAGGAAGCAATTTCTTTTATGTGGTAATTGTTTAGTGTGAACCTATGAAATGTATAGAGAAAGTTCAACTTAAATTAAATGATTAAAATGTCCATTAACTTACACATCTATATAGAAGAACCAAAGAAATAATGCATATAAATGTGCATGGTTTTGACAGACTAATATCATTTTACATACAAAAGTCTATTATCTACAAACTTAGTTTTTTGTTAACTCGTCTGATTATAAGATCAAGACCATCGAAAATTATCAATAACATGAGGACAAAGCAGCGATTAAAATTAATAAATTATTATTAATGAACCATGAATCATTCATATATTTGAACCATCTGTTTTATGCAGTGAAGGATAAGCACGCCTAAACTTTCAAGCTTCTTCTGCTCAACATTCTTACATAACTATCTCAGTTTGCTTTCCGGAACCATATCCTCAATAGATGCTATTTCCCCTCTTTCTCTAACAAAGTTGTTTCACAGTTCACACTTTATTTTTCTTAGTTTTGCCACTTTCCATTCAGCTTTCTCATTTCTGCAATATCTTATCTACATGTCAGTGTTTTCTTTGTTGCCGGCACCTATGTCCAGAGAGCATATTAGCCTATATCCCAGACAAGTGAACAGCTATAAACTTTGAAAACTCCATATTTAAATAATAAAAAAATTCCATCATAATGTGTAATAAAAAAAATGTCCTTGAACCAGAGATCTGAAGCTATTTAAGATAAAGCAAAAACTAGTAACAGTAGTTCCCGTACAAAAAAACAAAACACAAGCAAGCTTATGGATATAATGCTATGCGTGAACCGTAGGAAGACACATCTTAATCATGCACTATTGCAAAATCACCAAAAAAAATCGAAGAAAGGCTGCTGCAAATATTTCTTTAGCATCACTGCCATCATATATCTAATACAATGCTAACCTCAAGATGCGGAGCAGCATCTGTTGTCAAACCTACTGTAACTGCAGCAAGCCCAATTAACCCTCCCTGACAAATAAAGAGAATACTATTTCGATAAAATATAAAAAGGGAATAAACCGATTGTTTCTATTGGCAAAACATGAATATGTATCGTGAGTATCGCACGTAAAACCACTTATCAATATATCAAGCCAATATTAGACACACCTTCCTATGGTTTGGCTGCGGAGAGTAAGTAAAGTCGGTGACCAACAGGCTGATCACAGAGGATATCTTCTCATGCTCTCCAGCTATCGTTAGTTGTTTCACGATACCTTCGATCTGTTAAAATCTCCCAGTTCCACATAACAGTAAGATCTGCACATCTTAAACGGAAGAGGCAGAAAACCAATCGCACAAAAAATGGGAATAAATTACCTCGAGAGCCGCATTCTTTCTCTTCTCGTAGAGTTTATCTGCAAGGTTCCTGAGAACCGATGTCGGAATTATAGACAGCGCGTCCGCCATTCAGCAGCCAAGGAAGGAATCCGCCTGAGAACAATATCAAGAGGAGATCGGCGAGGAAACGCACTCGCAGTCTATATTCCGCTCAATCTCAAAACCCTTAGATCAATTGTGAGAAACTGCCAACAAAAACCAAATGCTAGAGCGAGGGGATATCAACTACAGGATGGGCAGTCGGTTGAAAAGCTTCTATAAAATCAAATAATCGTAACCCTAAAGCCCAAATTAAGGATGTTGGAGAGGACGTTCAGGTTGGAGAGCCATTTATCACTCCAAAAGCCTCCTTCCCTCTCTCTCTGTCCGTCCCTCCATCTTTTCCTGCCTCCTTTTCTCTCGACGGAGCTAGCGCTTACCGTTGAGCGAACGCCACGGTCACGGCGCTTGACCCTATCGAATCCGGGAGCGGTTTATTTGCGGTTTCGAGAAAGAGCAACAAAGCGGGAAACGGATTGGGAAACGCATTCAGGGTTTTTTAATTGGAAGCTGCTCTGAGAAATTTACTGTTGGGATGTGTGATGTGGCTATTTTGATGAATTTTTTTTATCAATCATATATTTAAAATAATATATATGAGGATTTACATATGCTAATTTATATATTTCACATTTAAATTTTACTATTTATATATTTGTAGCATCTATAACATCAAAACAAACTCAAAAACACCACCTCTTGTTAAAATCCACCTAACGTTATAAGTGAGTTATAAACATATCGTTATATGTGATGTCGGAGGCATTAATACCCTCGTATAGGAGCTTGTTATTACCTATCAACATCTTTCTCTACGCCCTGCCGGTATCCTTGACTGTGAACTCAAACAAGTATCCAATATTGGTTAATCTCATTAAGGAGTGATATATCACCAAAAATCACATTGATCTGGCACGACTCTTGAGATAATTTTGAATTGGAAATCTTCAAAATTTAGTTTATGATCATCTGAACTACCATTTTAACATGCTTGTAGTCAAACTGAACATTTTGACAAGACGAACCCAATGACGCCAAAATCAGTCCAAATGGGTTCGAATCAAGGAGCTAAAGCATACTTGGAAGTGTTAATTTAATAATCAAATGATTTTCAAATATGACACATTTATAGTTGAATTGAGCGGCTGGACGAGACGAATCCAACGAGCCTAAAAAACTTAAGTTAAATATCATTAAGACGCTTAAATGCTTGATGAAAGCTCTATAATCAAAAGAATCAATATAGGCCTTCTGATGGAGCACTCCTAATTTGTCATAGATTTTCTTCATATTTACTAAGTATTTCACTTTCAAAAACCTATAAATAGACCATCATTCTTCACATGACGGAAAGGAAGTAATGATAGAGAGAATAAGAAATATCTCTCTTGCATTTTTCAGCTATCATCGCAATTACGGCCACCAACTATTGCCAACGACAACCACCGTCATCATCGACGACCAACTTAAAAAATAATCACCTTGTATAGAATACTAAGAAGATTTAACCCCACTCTTGCGTATATTTTTTCGCTCGTAGACATTTGTTTTCTAAAATTCCTCTTGAGAAAATTGTGCCTTGTTGTTGGGCATAGATCGTCCATCCGCGGACATTTGATTTTTGTATTCTCCCTCTTCTTCAACAATGAAGAAAGGTGAATCTTTGTATCACTTACTATATACTTCATAGTAAATTTTACAACTTGACTAGACCTCGTGATTTTTTTCCCTTTCCGAATTTTTTACGTAAAAAGTTTTCTGATCATACTATTTTTATATATTCGTGTTGAATATTTAGATAAGCTAAGATGTGAAACATAAACTCTACTGCCTCAAATTTCTTAGCACATAACACGAGGATGCTAGATGGTGTAAGTAATAAAATTTAGGTGCTAGCTAAGTAAATATATAATTTTGAGTATAATGTGATTCCCTATTTCCCCCTAGTATATTTCTTAGGATTCATATTGTTTATACATGAAAATAATTCTCAAAATGTAATGGAAAAACTGAGTTGGAATGAGATAGCTCTTTTGATATGGAGACCTCAAAGTTTAACTCAAAATTTTTTATCATTCAAAAATCAACTAATTCCAACTTTGGATCAGATTAAGTAGAATTTTGGGATTGAACAAATTTTTTATCCATGGGTTGATCAAATCGAATAGACTCAAAATCGGATCGAAATATTATTTTTATTTAAAAAAAAATTAATGATTATTTATATATAACATAGCTTACTAGAATTCTAAATGAATTGTTAGCTCACATAGTTACATGAGTAATATACTTTGCCCAAGTAATATATTAGCCTTCGCCCGATAGCTCGGGTTTAGAACTTGGCCTTTTAAATTTGTTTTCAGAGTTATTTTGCAATTAAATTCGGTCTGACTTGATCAAAATGTGCCCGCTCGATTCAATTTCTATTCATATTTGATCAAACAATTATTTTCAAGCTGGTTCGAAATTAAAATAAGCCTGAATGAGCCCGATTAAAGTTTGATCAAGTAGGCTCAAAATTGATTGAATCGAGGCACAATTCGCTCTGAACTACAAGCCAATCCATAGTGCCAAATTCGAATTGAATATACCCAAATTGACTCAAAATTAGGCTATTTGTGATCCTAATGATCGGAGGTGGAGTTCTATTTTTTTTTACCACGGTGTAAATTGATTGTTTTAAAATTTGGCGGTTTTTATTTTATTTTTATAAATTTATAATATAAATATTAAAATATACATTGATAAAAAATTTATAACTAATAGCATCTATTATTAAATTTAAAACTATTTCAAACACTTAAAATTGTTTTGTTAAATTTATTTAAACATTATTTTTTTCTCATAGGTATCACCTATAATTATTTTCCCTCTGAATCTACTTTATAATAAGCCAAAAAGAACATATCATAAGACAAGACTTAAATAATTGATACAATTACAGGTCATCAGAAACACTTTAATGAAAAATATCTAAACCCTAAACCCTAAAAAATGGTGTTGCTTCTAATAAAAAAATACTTGTGTCATCAAGCACTGTTGAGATGATTCAAATATGATCGAAATTATTTAAAATTCAATAACTTGCATGTGGATCTTAGAATGAATAAAAAATGAATAATTTTTATAGCATCGAAAATTAATTTGATCGGTCAAAATTTTTGATGCATAGTTAAATTGAAAACTTATTAATTCAAATTCAATATATCATTTAAACTCCAAATTTAGCAATTTTTTGTCAATTTGAATGTCTCAATGAGACGAATCCAATGATATAAAAAGCAATCCAATTTTAATCCGAATGAGCCCATATCAAACACTTAAAGTGTAATTGAAAAATTATATGATATTATTTGAATAACCAAAGATCTCCAAATCTCGCATGCTACTGGCCAAGAACCACCATTGGAACGCCACCCAACTAGCTCTGTTAGACTATCGCCCAACCACCATTGTCAAATCTTCTCCTAAATACCACCGTCAAACCATGATCATCATAGTTGAACTAAGGTTGATCAAAATATTGAATTTTAAATTTTTTTTAAATGATTTATGGTAATTTGGTATGCATCATAAATATTAGGCCTAGGGATAAGTCCAATGCCTTTGAGTTTTCTTTGATTGGGTATTAAATTATAAAAGTTTTGAACCCTAATTTGTATTTTTTTATTTAATTTGAATTTATTACAATTGTATTTTAAGTTTTGGCTCCCATATAGCGGCTAATTTTTATTTTGCTTAGTTTTATTGTCAAATGAGTTCAAACCTAAGTGAAATTAAACATTGGGGTTTATAATACCACTAAGTTTACTAGTTTGAAGTCACCCCTATTTGGTGTATGTAGAATTTCCTAAAAATTTTCTAAGTTGTCTAGACATTATCCTTAATTATTTTTTCTAGATAACACTAGTGTTCAAATAGGCTTGAAACTTGGTATGACTAACCATTACACATGCACAATCACACCATAGAAAAATGACAAGAAATGTCTACATATTTGGATAATTATAAATGTTCAAAAGCATGGGTCCAAAATAGACCCATCGCCTTGAAAATTCAATTAACAACAATCATGAGCATATCATGACTTACAAAAATTACTGGGGATGTATAATCACTAAATTTTATGTAAAATTTGAATTTTCTTTGAATTTTTGGAGTTTCAGGCATTTCAAATGGATTTTAATTCTTTTTTATAAAAAATAGAGCTGATAGCTCTGGATTTTTTTTTAAAAGAAAAAGACAATCAATATATTAGAGTCAAAAAGGGTTACAAAACATACAGAACCAACACAATAAAAAGGATACACCACATAAAGAGCAAACACAAAAAAAAAAGCTAATTGAAACCAAGAGAGGGCTCAGTAATCGGCCGAGGCTCCCAGCATCCCCGAAGCCTCGTACGGACCATCCAATAAGGTGAATAAAGCGCACCAATTGATCCAACCCAATTTGAGAACAATCACTAAAGGTTGCCACCAGCTAGACGACGAGGACACGAGCCCCAGCCACATCATTGCCCCACAATCCTCCACAACGACCAAAACAAACAGATAAGCAAACCAGATATAACAATAGGAAAAACTCATTATTGAAAAAGGGGTTATCTTCTTCTCCTGCCTCTCCCACGAAATTTCCCACGAGATGCAACAAAGAGGACAGGTCTATCTCAAACCAATTTAAACTCGTTTCCAGGGTCAGAGCCACCGCAATAATCCGAATATGAATCGGATTCGGATTCATATTCAGACGAACAATGCAACCAATCAACATGGGACCTTACATCCAATTCAGAATTAACACCCACATGGTACATCAGTGTTTTGGGGGCCATCAAATTCACCGGTACATTAACAACATTATTAGAACAAACCACTTGCCCAGCCGTATTTTCCACCCGTCCACACACCTCGTTGAGATCCGCAGGCACAACATTATTTTCCACCCTTCCACAATCCTCCAAAACACCCAAAATAGGAGAAGCAACATTATCCAACCCACCGGAATCCCCATTAAGACTCAGCCTCGAGTCAGACAAAACCAAAGCTTCGACACCCAAAGCAGGCTCCAGAGACGTCGCAGGATCTAACTGAACCAAAACAGGACAACAACCCAAAACATCACTATTTTCCGGCACCAGAGCTGCGACCGGAAGAACTCCAACCTCAGCACCAGGCAACACACCCAAATTCTCACCAGCCAACGGGGCAAGAGATCCCACAGCACCAGGAGAACAAACCGGTGAGTCAACAGTGGGCAAGGCAGCGGGCACAACCTCAGTATTAGCAAAATCACTACATAAAACCTCCAGCACAGAAGGAGCAGCGACAATATCAACATTTTCAACACAGTGGGGGGCTAAATTTACGTTCAGGATAGAAGAATCGTTATGAATCACAGCCGAAGCAGGACGGCAATTACCCGGAGTATGTCCAATACATTTACATGGAGCACGGAAATGAGGAAATTCATCTAAAACCACCTCCTGGACATAACCTAAAGTTTCATAACCTAACCAAAATTTCTTAGGATAAGATTTTGTTATGTCAAGTTCGACTAACACACGCGCATTTGAAGGACGGGAACCAACCAGAGTTGCTTCATCAATTTTCAAAGGCTTGCCAAAAATCTCACCAAGCCCAAAAAGAATCTGTGGGGAGAAGAAGTGAGGACGAAGACGCGAAAATGAAATCCAGATCGGGATAACCGGCGACTCAACACCGATATCCAAGCTAGACGACCATTTTGTTAATTTCATATAACAATTAAAGACAAGGTATGATCGGTGATAAAACACCCTACAGTAATCGAGATCGTTGGATAGCTTGATCAAAATGTGAGAGGGATCCAACACAGTAATAGAGACTTCACCTTTAAGCTTCAAATTGAAGAAAAAAATTTTTGAATAGAGTCAAGAGAGGATCTCTTAGAATGGAAAAATCAACTAACGAGAATTGAAATAGGGCAGTAAGATCGTTGATTTCCTGGTCGGAAATCCATAAAGACGGAAAACCATGGAACGTAGAAGTCCGCAAATCCGGAAAAGAAGGTGTAGAACCAGCAAGAGCCTCAAGAAAAGAACGAGAATGAGAAACCCCTCCTAAAAAACCAGGGTCCTGGATGCGACATGTGGCAGGTGTGAAGACTCGACGGCTTATGGAGGACACGTGGTGCACTGTGGTTCATCCACTTGCCACATCAGCGGCTCAATCGAGCCAATGGATTAATCAGCGACATGGATGAATACGATTGATCGAGCCATGTCACCCGCAATCCAAATTGCACACAATGTTTTGAAAATGGTTGAATAGTTTTCATCTGATTGTGTATGGACGTCCAATCGTGCATGTATTACGATCGGGCGATTCTGATATGATCAAATTATGCAGTTAAAAAAAGAATTGTAACTTCAAATACTCATAACTTTCGATCCAATTATTCAAATTTGATGAAATTTAAAATATAGGCTCTACATAACCATATCTTTCAATTCGTGGTGTTTGGAGGCTCCATACATTGAGATCTAGGAGAAAATGTAAAAATTATTAGAAGTGATTAATACAAAATATGCTGATGCAAAAATTGAAAATAAGACTAAATTAATGTTGAAAATCATGTGCTGGTTATAATGCAATATAAGAGAAAATGTTAGAGAATTACAAGCTAGAGCATATATATGAGCTATATGAGATTATTGAAAACTTGGCATAAATGCATGTATTCTTGAATTGTGAAAAGACATATTTATTAGCCCTATTTTTTTATAGAGCATTTGATATCATATAAGAGAGTTAGTAAACCTATAAATATACATGATGATTCTTTTGCAAAAGGATAAAATCATCATTTATAGGTGTATACCCAACATTCTTTTTTTCATGTGGATCATATTTTCATATATGATGTGATAAGAAATCAGGACTGAGATTATAGATTTCTTATTAGGTGGAAGGATAAAGCACCAACCGACGACAAGGTTATACTATAGATGAAATGGAGAAGCTTGCACAAGAATTGTGGAGGAATACATTGATTTGAACTCTTTAGAGAAAATTTCTTTGAGATCCAAAGAATTGATATGTGACACTAGTTGTTAATACAAGAAGAAGTGCACTAGCCATGAGTGCTCAAAGCAAAAAGAAAGTAGAGGTCCTAGGACAAGGAGCAAGACCAAGCAAATTAATTAGAATTTAAATTTTATGTGTATGATGATTGTTGTTTAAGCTCATATATTTTATATATTTAAATTTATGGTTGCAAGTATGATTTAATATTTTGATTTTTAAATTTTAAATTTTAAATTTATATTTTTAAAATTTTAAAAAATTTTAAAATGTGTAGCTCATGTTTCCAAATATAGAGGGAATTTGATTTTTATTAATGTGAAAATATTTGTTTGCATAAAAAGTCAAATAAGCATCATCTATCCATGATCAGTTTATCTATTGATGTCGATGATTAATGTTTTTTAAGATCATATATTCATATTTTTAAAGTTATGATTGTAGGTATAATTAAATATTTTGAATTTTAATTTGAAATTTACATTTTAAAAATTTTAAAAATTTGAAAATGTGTGGCTCATGTTTTCAAATATAGAGGGAATTTGATTTTTATTAATGTGAAAATATTTGTTTGCATAAAAAGTCAAATAAGCATCATCTATCCATGATCAGTTTATCTATTGATGTCTAGTTTTTCTCCATCAATTACTCTATTATTTCATAACATTTCCATCACAAATTTCCCACAAAATTCAAATTCCTCTTTAAACAACCTCTCAGGTTCGACTAGTTTTACCCTAGGCTACCCACTATTTGTCAAATCCATTTAATCTCCAATATAATCAAAATCTAAGTACACTTACTAACCCTTTGGAGAAGAATTGCAAATACATGAAAGCCATCATCTAAGGTGGTATCCCTTGGTTATATTATGCATCATTGTTGCCCGATTTTTATCCTCCAACCACCGTTTGGAAAATCATAATCAGGCGATGGAGGTCGATGAACAATATTTGGGTGATAGCATGGTCGGGTGACCGTGGTTGGAAGACCGTCAAGCAACATTGGTTAGAACATCATAGTGGAGAGAGGGGTTTGAAAGATTATAGTCAGAAGACGTTGGTCAAAGGATGTAATCGGGAGACGGAGGTTAAAGGATCGTAATCGGGTAATGGAGGTTAGAGGATATTATTCATGCAATGAAGGTAGGAGGGCAGAAGACCATCATCGAGTGAAGATGGATGAAGGATCATAGTTGGTGAATATGGTGCAATGATGGTGGTTGGGTTAATGTTTTGATGGCAACGGTAGTGCGGTGTTTTGATGGCTACAATTAGGCGATGGTTTTACAACAACAGTCTAACGGGGCAATCAGGAGGTAGTCTGTGTACGACAGTTGGGTGATGGTCCAATAGTGATAGTTGGATGGTAGCCTGGTGGTGTTGCCCGAGTGGAGCTTCAAGATTTCAAGAGACTCTAAGCTCCCTTGAATCTCAAACCCAAGTCTGAGCTTCAAATCCCCCTAATGTCAAGAGTTAGAGCCTACAGATAGATTTTAAAGAGTAACATGTCCCATAAATATAACAAAACTTTAACCCTTGTATGTTATCGCCAACTTTGCACCTCATCGTCTCTTCATGTGAATAATTAATACTATGAGTTTTTATTTTCCCTTCTTGAGTGTAATCTTTAGGCTTCTTTAGTTTGCATTTTTTGTCTTCTAGCTGAAAGTATTAGATTATACTTGTCTGTAACATAGTGATGCAATTTTGCATATTCTGTATACTTTCATTTAAGTATATCAAGGATAATAATGATTAATGGGCTTTAAGGGTGCTTTTATTTGAAGTATAATGAGTAGGTTTTACACCTCCTAAGAAGAAAACTTATTTTTTTAGTAAAATTAGTGAACAAAATAATTAATTCAAATCCCTAAATATGAAAATTTCAAAATATTAATTCATTTAAGTATATCAAGGATAATAATGGGCTTTAAGGGCGCTTTTATTTGAAGTATAATGAGTAGGTTTTACACCTCCTAAGAAGAAAACTTATTTTTTTTAGTAAAATTAGTGAACAAAATAATTAATTCAAATCCCTAAATATGAAAATTTCAAATTATTAAATTTCAATCTTACTTGAATATTTATATTTTATGTTATTTAGTTATTTATATAATTGTAATTATTGAAAATTTACAATGTTATTATATATCCATGTTTGAAATTGAGAAGTTGGATGTACGTTTATCATGCTATTAGAAATTCTAAATTTATTTAATTGAACATATATAAAAAATTAATTAAATAAGATATATATGCTTCAATTAAATAATTAATAATTCAATGAAATTTTCATTTGGAGATTGTGTTAAAGTCTGTGATATCTCAAAATCAAAGTCTGCAATATTTTTTCTTATGAAATTACAAAGAACTTTTGGAGTTATAAATCAAGCTTACCCTTTTCAACAAAAAAAAAAAATAATATGACTATTATTACACATCTCAATCATGCATCTTACAAATACTATATATTACAATTCCATATGAACAAAGTGGATTATAAAGCCACCAATCTCTAAAAATTCTTCTAATCTTTACGTTTATCATCTTCATAATCACCAGCAGTGACTGCGGCGAATTCGGCAGCCGGAAGGTCAGAAATGACGGCGAGCATGCTCCGAATGCTGGCGGAGCGAGCAGGGCGAAAACTGAAGCTCCTACTTCTTTTCTTACTGGTTGAGAAGATGCAAGAGGACTTGGAGAGGATGAGGTAGACCAGAACTTGAACAGCCAAGAACATGACCACCTTCAGAAGAAACGTTGGTGATTCTTGCATGAATGTCAGATCTTCCATGGCTGGAGAATTGAGGAAGTATTGAGGAATATGATGATAAATTTGGGTTAGTAGCAGATGATTTTGTATCTGTATTTATAATATTTAATGGTTTATATATCTCTTCGTTTTCTTGTTCCAGGTCAGAGTTGCCGGGTGACTTTGGTCTGCATAGGATCCTTATCGGATGCGAATTAGATAGACATCAGGGGATTTAGATCCGTAATGTTAAAAAAAAAAAAAGGCTGTCAATTTAATTTGGTCAAAATCCAACAACTCTTTAATCTAGATATGTTGTAAGACTTTTATTCGATGTTTTTGTAAGAATTATAATGTATATTAAGAAATAAAAAATTTTATTTCGAATAATGACATAATTTCATCAATAATAAAATTGAAATATATTTAAAAAATATTTTTAAAAATAGCTGATAAGTGTCATAAAATAAAAGTTTAATTGTTTAGGACTGCTATAATATTTTGTAAAATTGGTTGTGATGTTATTATCCGAAAAATAATTTTTATGAAAGTTGATGTGGATATTATAAATATGTTATTTTTTTAAATCAAATAATTATTTTCTTAAAACTATCACATAATAGTAATTATGATAGTAAAATGTAATTTTGTATCATAAAAATTTCTAGAAAGCAGCAATAAAATTGTAGTATAATAGAATTATAGTTGCGGGCAGAAAAAAGAAAGCTGTAAGAAAATTATCTCAAACAGACCTTAAATTATTCCGATGTATTTTCATATCAATAAGTCGTGATTCTTTTTTTTTTTTTGTGAAAATAATCCCAAGTTTAAGCGTATATG